TTATATTATCGAAGCTGCTTAAGTGAAAAATAAATGTTTAGTTTAAAGTATTTTGATTTAAGATATCGAAAGAGGTTACTTTAAAAGAATATCGAGATTGCTTTAAAAAGATATTCAAAGTGTTTTAGCTTAAAATATCGAAGCTGCTTTAAAAAAGTAAATAATTATGCTATCGAAACTGCTTGAATGAAAAGATGAATGTTTATTTAAAGTATTTTGGTTTAAGATATGGAAAGAGATTGCTTTAAAATAATATCGAAATTGTTTTAAAAAGACGTTTACGGTTTATGTGACGACCTTAAGCGATTACCTAAAGGAATTCACGGGAGCGCGGAGGTTCATATAAAAGCTTAAAAGAATCTTAAAGTAATGACTTAAAATCAATAATTATCGAATATAAAAGTCGAAGGTAGCTAAGGTCTATATATTGTGGTGGAGTTAGGGGTCTGTATTTGTTTTGTCCATGTATATAGTACTGATGCTAGGCACTTTTGTCACGTGGGTGCGCTGCATGCTCTAGCCTTGCTAGGTACGTGGTTAAGTCACGTGCAGGCTCTTATATAAACGAGTAATTGGTTCTTCTTTAAACTAGCACTATATTATTACACAATATAATACACGTACTTATAGCATACATTCGAGTGTCTTTCGATCGTCTTCTTTTTCTTTTTTTATTTATTTACGATTCTATTATAATTATATTTATATATATCTTTTGATTTAACGTTAAGTATATATCGGAGCTTTTCTTTTTTATATATATTTAATGACTTACGCAAAGAATCGAACTTAAGGTTGGTCTTTATACTTTTTTTAAACTTGCTTTCTTTGCGAGAAGCTATATATTCGGAGTTTACGTCATACGCTAAGTTATTGATTATATGCTTTTGCGGTACTTTTTCGAAGAGTATTCGATATACGCTAAGCTAATAGTCAAGTGCTTTTGCATATAAGCTTCGAAGCTATTGCTTTAAAAGCGATCTTTTTTCGATTTGTGTCCGTCGAGCATGCTATTCGATATACTCGATAAGTACTACTTAAAAAGTCGTTATTTTAGTTCGAGGATCGAGCTAGTTAAAGTTTAATTCGATATTTACAAAATACTATTCACTTAAGCTATTTTGCACGGCGATACGCTCGAAATATTATTCGTTTAATATACTTTACTTTTTCGATTCAATATCGCTTTTAATACGAGTTTATTGCTTTTTTTTTTTAAAAAGGTAAGCAGTAGTTAAGTATCGGAAATATTACGCTAAGCTTAAAAAGTTGAAAATTTAATATTTACTTCGCAATAAAGATTGCGCATAAAAACTTCGAATTGCTTTCGATTATCTTTCGCTTCGGTAAAGAAAAGATATAACAAGCGAAAATAAGTGTTTGCAATTCGAAACCGTTTCGATGTCGTATTATACTAAAAGCAAGCTATATGCTTGCACGGAAGCTCGGCTATTACTTTACTTCGTTTTTATTTCGATATATTTAATTTCGACAATTACTTTTCCGCTTATTCGGATCTTACGTTTAAAAGTTAAACGTATTATCGATATTATTTATTATATCGATTTAGTTTCGATTATTTAGCTCGAAGCGATCGGCATTCGATTTTCTATTGAATTATTTTCGACGCATCGAGATCTTATATTTTTACAATATTTTTTTATATATTTAATATTTATTATAAATTGTATTTATTTTATTTTTATTATTTATTTATATTTACGTTATTTTCGTTTTTTTTTCGCATCCGTTTCAAGACACTTTTACACTTTAATCGATATTTATTAACTTAATTTAGCGAGCTTACGTTAAAGCTTTTAAAAATCAAAAAGAGCTATGACTTTTTCGATTTAAAAGGATTTCGGACTTAACGAAGATGCTATTCGCAAGATAACCGAAGATAAAGTAAAAAGGATTTAAGCTTTTTTACTTTTCGTAAATGCTTCGAATTACGTAAGTATCCGTAGACTTTTCTTTAGATTTAAAGCTTTTAAAATGCTCGCTTTCGATAAAGCTAATATTACGGATTATATTCGCTAGCTCGAACGAGCGTTTAAAAACTACGGTATCGTTATCGATTCGAAAAAAAAGCAGTGCTTTGCTAAATATAATATCTTTAGCTTTTTCGGTTATAATATACGTTGCAATATCGAAAGCTTCGGCGGCTTTTCGGACTCGAAAGTGACTTAAAACGACTTTAAATCGGTAATCAAAGAAAAGTATAAGGTTTTCGACTTCGTTAAATAGAAAAATAATATTAGCTTTTTAAACGACTTAAGTAATAAATAGATAGTAAAAGAAAAAGCTTTTAAAGCGGAGCTTTTATAGTTCACTCGATAATTCAACTTTACGAGCTTTGCTTGCTTAATTAATAAAGATATTATCGATAAGCAGCTAAAGTGGAAGTTCTTCGGTTGCTTATTATTATCGATATAAAATCGGACTTAAAAAAACGTTAAACTTAAAAAAGATTACTTGCAAACTTATAATATAATATATATTATAATAAGCGACTTAATTAAGCAAAAACAAATTATTACGGAACGGATTAAAAAATACAATTACGCCGAAATCTTTAAAGCTTTTTCTCGCTATGACTTTTATTAAAACGAGAACTTTCGTTTTTAAATACCGTTTGTTATTTTTAAAAGCAAGCGAAACTTATACGTTTCGCTTTTTTATAATATTTACTTCGGTAATATTTATGCTTTTCTTTTTTATTACGCAAGCATTACCGCTGCGAGTTCGATTATTCCGTTTATCGATCTTAACTTAAAGATCGAAGCTTTTACGGAATAGCTAGCGAAAGTTAGTATTCATTTAAAACTTACCGATAGCTTCGCTTTCGTACCGAAAAAGGCTTATATAAACTTATTAAAAGCTGCTTAATACGGAAAGACTTAAGAAATCGCTTTGCACCGAGTGTACGAAATCAATGCGGCCGATACTTATTCGAACCGAAGCTACGCTATATTAAAAGAGAAACGGTCTTTAAACGATTTTAATTGCATTTTCTGTTAATGCTAGTAAACTTTTAACTTATTTAACTATTAATAAAAGCCTTATAAATATTAAAATTAATGCTACTTGTTTATGCTTTAATACGGACTAGCCTTTTATTTTAACGAAGCGGACTTGATATATATAAAACCGTATCGAAAGGAAATATTATCGATTTTGTTTTAATTTCGAAACAATACTTTTAAGTACGAGCAAGTTCTAAAAAGAGTTAGTAAGATAATAAATGATTTTAATCTTAAGCGTCGTTATAAAGCTTTAAAAGCATAACGAGAATCTATTAAAAAAGCTGCACGAAAACGCGCTAAAGCGCTTATTCGAGTAGCTAACGGCGGCAATGCAAAAGCTTTTCGTATTAACGATTTTAATACTTCGAATATAATTCGCTAACGATATATTATATCAGCGGATTTATATACTCGCGTATTTAATACGGAAGCTATTATTATATCGATAAAAACTCGAGTACGCAACGCGGCTTTTCGAGTTACGTTATATTCGCTAAAAGACGCTCTTTCGGTAAAAGCAAAAGTCTAATCTATTTATAGCTAGCTTAAAGTTACTTTCGCTAAATTAATAAAAATAGATAAACTCGAGCTCGTTTATATCGCGATTTTTAACTAAAACGCTTTACGACCGAAAGACTTACGGAATCTGCTCGTTACGCTATTAAAAGCTTTTAAAGTTGCACTTAAGCTTAAGGCCAAGCCTTTTAAGATTGTTAAATCATACGAAGAGCTTAGCAAAGTGATCTTTTTCTTAAGAATAAATTACGAAGCGATTTGTATTAAGCTCTTAAAAAAGCGCGATTTGCTTAAGAACTTAACTTTTAATAAGATTATTACGTTTTTCGCTGCTTTTTCTACTTTTAAACGATCTTCTTTCGAAAGTATAATCGATAAGATGATTTAATAAACCTTTACTAGCGAAAGCGCTATTAACTGCTTTTAAGCTGCGGTTAACGTTGCGAAAGCTTCGGAAGATTGCTTAATTATAAGTAATAGACTTACTTTAAAAGCGACGGATAATTTAATAAAAGACGGACTTGCTTTAAAGCTTTAGCGGCTTATTTAAAGAAAAAGTAATATCTTTTT